GGTGGCATCTGGAAATGCATATGGTACCTTTGCTTGTCAAATGCCTGGGGGTGCTGCTGACATTTAGTGGGCATGTTCCCGGAAGGGTAAACAGCCCTCAAGGCACAGGGCAGCCCTGCATAGCAAAAACTGTTGCACCATAAATGCCAACAACACCCCCATTGAGAACCTCAGAGAACGCCAAGAAAGGGGTAGTGAGCATGTCCCCTCCCAGGGCAGCGGTTGCCCGAACTGGCCGTACCCTGGGGACTTGCCGTATAGAAAGGAGGGTGCGGGGAGGGCTCAGGAGCCGGAATCTTTACAAGACTTTGCAGGTGGTTCTGGTGTGCAGCCGGCTGATCTGGGGTTAGGGAATCCTAGAGGACTGTTCTTTGTCACCTGGTCAGAAAGGAGGCGTGAGTTTGCCGTCGGGGCTCTGTGGTTAAAGCACGCAAAGAAAAGCGCCACGAGTCACCAGGACACGAGGTACTGCCTGGGTTCTGCACTCCGGAGTATGACAGACGTTTTCCACTGAAGCGCAGCGCACACATAAAACTGCTCGAATTGATCGCCCACAGCTGCTCAATGAAAACTTCCAAAAGGAGCAAAGTTTACCGAGTAAACACGCCCATGCCATTGTCACTCAGACGGAGATACTTCCGGAAGGTGACCACTCACGCCAATCACTCTTCTGCCCCCAAAGTGACCACGGCTTTGACGTCTAAAGGCACAGATTCGTTTTGCCCATTTCTGAACTTTATATAACAGGAGTTACACGCCGTGTTCTCGTCTGAGTCTGGCTTCTTGGGTGCAGCGTCACGTGACGTTTGTGACACTCACCGTGTACTTGCGTGCAGCTCGTCCATTCTCGCTGCTGCAGAAGCTCTGTGTTCTGAAGCATGCTTATCCACTCTGGGGGAAAAAAAAGTTTCCAATTTTTAGCTAGTACGAAGAGCGCTGCACATCCTAAGGCAGGTCTTTCACTGGCTACGCACCCTCGTTCCTCCTGGACATGTACTCAGAAGCAGCGTTGTTGGGTTACAGGATAGGCAAAATGGTCGTGCTGGCAGAAACGGCCAGTTTACCAAATTACACCCCGACCAACAGAGGACAAGAGTCAGAAGTGGTTCCAGATCCATGTCCGTGAGCTGCGGAAATTTTTTTTTTTTTTTGAGACAGAGTCTCGCTTTGTTGCCCAGGCTAGAGTGAGTGCCGTGGCAACAGCCTTGCTCACAGCAACCTCAGACTCCTGAGCTCAAGCGATCCTCCTGCCTCAGCCTCCCGAGTAGCTGGGACTACAGGCATGCGCCACCATGCCCGGCTAATTTTTTCTATTTCAAATATTAGTTGGCCAATTAATTTCCTTCTATTTATAGTAGAGACGGGGTCTCGCTCTTGCTCAGGCTGGTTTCAAACTCCTGAGCTCAAAACGATCCGCCCGCCTCGGCCTCCCAGAGAGCTAGGATGACAGGCGTGAGCCGCCGCGCCCGGCCCTGAACAATCTTCTTAGGAAGGTCCATCCAAACCAGTCATGCATTCAACTCATACAGTGCAGGCTTCTCATGAGACTGGCTCTTCCCGCCCGTGCACATGGATTGCTTCTTCTTTCATGTTAGCTGTCACTTGCCTTTGGGATTTGAAATAATATCAAGTACGAAGATCACTGATACGTAGTGATTTTAGGGGCCCCTCCTCCCCATCGGAATCCCATACACCCATCTCCTCGCAATTCCAATCACTCTCGGTTTAATCATTTTGTCCACATCTTGACAAGTTGGACAATCTTTTTAATATTTTAATTTTTCGTGGCGACAAGGTCTTGCTGTGTTGCCCAGGCTGGTCTCCACGTCCCGGCCTCAAGCGATCCTCCCGCCCTCCGGTCTCCCAAAGCACTAGGATTACAGGCACAAGCCAAGACGCCTGGATCCAACAAGTTAGAAAATCTTGAATGTGCTTGTAGGCAATCTGTAAAGGCAGGCCCACACTCACAAAATGGGGGATTTTTATAAAGACACACGATCTTTCTAGAATGTTCCAAATGAGCCCAGATACTGACGTCTGAGTGCGGAGGGGGGTTAACTAGTATTCAACTAGCTAAGCCTTAAAAAAAAAAAAAAAAATTTGCCTTCTTCATCCTCTTCCTCTTGCCCCCAAACCCAGCCTTCCTGTCTATACATGCTTTCTTGGTACAGCCACTTTGGAAGACGGTTTGGTGACATCTCATGAAGACATGAGTCCCCTGTGGACCTGGAAACTCCACGCCTAAGAGGAAGCCTACAGACATGCGTGTTTATGTGCACGGACAGCCTTTGAGACAGTAATGCTTAATAGCCCCAACTGGAAACAACCCAAATGTCCGCCAGGCAGAAGGACGGGTAAACAGATTGTGGCACTTCCTCTCGATGAAATACTATAGTGGGGTGAAAGTGAATCCCAACAGTGACAAACAACAGAGGAATCTTAAAGACATATAGCTTGAGGCCGGCGCGGTGGCTCACGCCTGTAATCCCTAGCACTCTGGGAGGCCGAGGCGGGAGGATTCGCTCCAGGTCAGGAGTTCCGAATACCGCCTGAGCAAGAGCGGACCCCGTCTCTAACGTATAAATAGAAAGAATTAATTGGCCAACTGACTATATATAAGTAATATATATATACTTAGTAATATTAAATTAGCTGGGGCATGTGCCGCATGGCCTGTATACCGAACTACTCGGAGGGACTGAGCAGGAGGATCGCTTGAGGCCCAGGAGTTGAGGTTGCTGTGAGCGAGGCTGAGCCACGGCACTCACTCCTAGCCTGGGCAACAAGTGAGACTCTGTCTCACAAAAAAAAAAAAAAAAAAAAAAAAAAAAGACATAGCTTGGGACCAAAGAAACCAGACCTGCAGAATGCATATGATATGATCCCATGTATACCATAGTCAACAAGAAGCAAAGCGAATTTGTCTTGTTTGGGAAGGCATGCTAAGGTAGTGAAACTAGAAAGAAAAGTAAGATACTATAACAATACCACGAAGTCAGGTAGTGGTTATTGCTGGGAGGAAGAGGTGTGTAGACACACATGGGGGGGGCGGGTAGGGGACTAGTGATGTCCACTTTTTTTGTACAGGCTCTGGACTTATTTCATATGATGGCTTCTTGGCGACCAATTCCTTACCCGACGTCTTATCGCTGCATGCATTTTCCTGTGTGCTTGTTATGTCCCAGCATGACCAGAAGCAGAACGAGAAATGATCAAAGTGGTTCGGGGGAGCAGTGAGCACGGTACAAACTATACCACCCGGAAGTCCCACCAAGCCAGTCAGGACCTGGCCACTCCTTCAGATCTGCCCTCTGGGTCTCCAAGATGGGGCTGCCGTGCACAACCAGCTTGCGGGGCCCCTGGGATGGAAACACCCCCAGGCAGGAACCGCAGACCACCCTTGCCAGCTTCCACAAACTACCGAGTCCCCCGAAAGAGGAAAGCCAGATCTGTTGAGAGAGGGCCGGCTGCACCCCTAGGCGCGAATTCCCTTCTCTTTCTGCCTGGGACTTTCTTCCCTGCCCAATTCCAAGACGCGCGACCCACGTGGAGCCCGGGGAGCGGGACGGGCTTTGCTCCCAGGGCAGCAGGGATCAGCCCCGACGCGCCCCAACCCCACCCAGCCTCCGGCCACCCGCTCTCGTCCCCGTCTCTCCCCCACAAACTCCGCGGGGCCCGGGCCCCCCGCGCCTCCGCGATTGGTCGCGGGCCATCATGTGTCACTCTGGGTGGGTCTTTTCTGCCGCTCAACTCATCAATTGCTTCTCTTTGCAGCCCCGCTGGCCTGAGTCTTCCAACGACTTTGCGCCATTTATTTGTCCCCTTTCCTTCCTCTTCCCGCACCCCTTCCACCCCAGTCTTCTTTCAGCAAAGCCTCGGAGGAGGAGAGGAGGAGGAGGAGGAGGGAGGGGGAGAGGCGTCAGGGTGCGGGGGCCGGGACGCGCGGGGCATTGCAGCACCCGCAGCGACCGACTCCCCGGCGGCTCCGAGGGGCGCGCCGCGCTCGCCGCCCGCCCCCACCGCTCGCGGGGAATTTTTCGGGATTTCGTTGCTGCAATCGGGCCCCGCGAGGAGGCGCGGCGGGGCGCAGCGCGCACGCACGCACACTCACGCTGCCCCCGGCTGAGCAGGCAGCCGCTAGTGATTCAGGAAGAAAAATAATTTTTTTTTTTTTTTGATAAAACCCCGGACCCTGCGCTTGGAAGACTCCTTGAGAACCCTCCGGAGCGGCCCCGTCGCCCCCTCCCCTCTGTCCTTCCCCCTGACTATTCTTTTAATCCCGTTTTCTTTTGGGGGAGCTACAGATCTCCCAGCAGGGTTCTTAAGGTCTAGGAACTCAGGCAAAACAGAAGAGGGCATTTTCATTCTGATTGATTTTTATTTTTATTTTTTTTGCTCTCCTGCCCCCCCCCAGCAGAGACTTGGCTTTATTTAATTTATTTTTAAAGCTTCTTCTTCTTCTTCTTCTTCTTTTTATAAATGGGCCGAGCGCACTCCTTTTGCAAGATGCCAGCCTAGCCCGGACCTCGGAGGAATTTGAGGCTCCGCTGCGTCCCGGGGGGGCGTCCTTTTGCTTAAACCGTTCGCGTCTTAAAGGGGGGGTGTGCGTTGGTTTTTTTTTTTTTTTTTTTTTTTAACTGACTCTTTTTTTTTTTTTTTTTCCGGAGTGGGTGGACCGGGGATTGCCTGGATTTCTTCCTCGGTTATTTTTCGCCTCGCGCGCTCGCTCGCTCCCCTCCCCCGCCGGCCCCCGCGCCCCGCCCCCGCGCCTGCTCCCGCCCCTCCTCCCCGGGGTCAGCGGGAAGATGTCGGGAGCCGCGATCCCCGGCGCGGGCCGGGCAGCCGCCGCCTGAGCCCCCGACCCGAGGCGCCGGCCGCCGCCGCCCGATGGGCTGGGCCGAGGAGCGTCTCGCCAGTCGCAGCTCCAGCCGCCGCGCTCCGGGCCCGGGCAGCAGCGGCGTCGGCGGCGGCCGCGGCGTCCTCCGCAGCGCCCGCCGCAGCGTAACCCTTTGCTCTTTGCAGAATGGCCCGCTTCGGGGACGACGCGCCGGGCCGCTACGGCGGAGGAGGCTCCGGGGCGGCCGCCGGGGTGGTCGCGGGCGCCGGCGGCGGGCGAGGCGCCGGGGGCAGCCGGCAGGGCGGGCAGCCCGGGGCGCAAAGGATGTACAAGCAGTCGATGGCGCAGCGGGCGCGGACCATGGCACTGTACAACCCCATCCCCGTCCGGCAGAACTGCCTCACCGTCAACCGGTCGCTCTTCCTCTTCAGCGAGGACAACGTGGTGAGAAAATACGCCAAAAAGATCACCGAATGGCCATATCCTTTGCCCGAGCCCCGCGCGGCGCCTCCCCTCCTCCGCCGCGCCCCGCGCCCCGCGCGAGCAGACCGGGGCCGATGGGAGCCGGGGGTCTTCCAGGCCCGGGAGAGGCGCGGGCCGTCTCCGCCCGCCGGCCGGCCGGCCGGCTGAGCCGCCGCGGAGCCTCGGCCGGGCGGCGAGGCGCCGGCGGTCCCTCCTGAGACCGGTCCGGAATGAGGGCCGGGCGGGCCGTGCTGGCGCCCCGGCGGGGGCATGGGCGCCAGCTGCGGAGGGGCCAGAGTTGTCCCGAAGGAGCCTGGACCCGTCCCGGGCCTGGGCGCTCCCCGGCCAGGGCAGGGCAGCCGCGGGCCGCCTTGGCCGGGCTGCTGCGCCGCCCCCGAGCTGGGCGGCCTCGCGGGCTGGGGCCGCACCTTTGGGCCAGGGCGCTGGGGGCTCCCCGGGCCGAGAGAGCGAGAGGGCACCATGTGGGCTTCACGCCCGAGAAGCCAGCACCACCCCAGGGTGGGCCTCTGACCCGATCTGCACCGGGCAGGGACGACGGCTGCGGGGTCCTTATTCTCCTGGGTGTCTGAAGATTTCATTTCCTGTGACCGCTGATTGGGGACCTCACCTCGTTATCTTTTGGGGTGTAGAGAAACAGATCCCGTGTGCCTTCCGTGGGCCCCGGGCCTGGGAGGACCCAGTGTGCGCTGTTTCCGTGGCAGGGACAGGGCTGTCGGGGCCGTTCTCGGGGACCCTAGAGCCTGGGGTTGGATTCAGCGGCTCCCACCCTAGGGAGCCGGGAGGGAACCCCAGGAGACTCAGACTCCGTGTGGGCGTCTCTGGCAGGTAAATGAACGCCTTTTTTTTTTTTTTAAATCAAAGACCCAGAGGAAGAAAGTGAGGACCACATTTTCCTCCTCTGAGAGGCCGAGGAAATGCAGAGCCCCTTGGGTTTCTTGAAATCTATGGCTGTTTGGAATAAATCTCGAGGAGGGCCCAATGTCTATTGAGATGTAGGCAGGCGGGGGGGGGGGGTCATTAGTTGGGCTTTCTAGCAGTTATCTAAGCCTGACCCAGATTCCAAGAGGGGGGGTACACCCTGCTCCCCAGGCTGGCTGGCCACCGTGCCATGCCCAAATGTGCCGCTTCTCGGCTTGGTGCCAACCAGCTGCCCTCAGTGTAGAAAGGAACAGGGCGGGATGGGTCCTGGGACTCGGCCCCCCATCGGGGTTGTGTGCGGTCTCCCTGTCACCCGCTGCACAGGGCTGGGCGCTCGGTGGACCAGGCCGCTCTCTGGGGAGGGCGCTGGTGGGTGGATTCACTTCTGGGGGCTCAAAAATGGAGCCAGGCTCTTGGCTTCTGGGGGCTGACATTGTCACGGGGGGTGCCGAGGCTTGGGACTGTGCGAACAGTCTACTTTGAGGATGGTGAAAATTGGGAGGCTCAGCAGAGGTGCTTTTGTGGGGCAGCTCACCCCAACAACCATGGCATCTCCACTGGTACTCAGGGCAGGAGCCAGGTCTCTGCTGTCTAAGTCCCAATCTCAGGAAGAGCCTGGTCCTTAAGGTTAGAAATTCCTCCCGCCCCAGGCCCATTGGAGTGCGATTCCTCTGCCCGCCTGGCGGAGTGAGTGGTGGGGGGCTTGGAGGGTGGCGAGGGGGCACGCTCCGCTCCGGGGGTGCCCGGGTTGCGAATGCCTTTAGATTGCCTCCTTGGAGCCTGGGTTTGGAGACTTTTTAAGAGGAAAGGAAGGAGGCAGGGAGTCCTCCGGTTGTGTCCTTAGCTCACCTCTGTCCAGCCCCAGCCCTGCAGATCGGAGGGCCTCGAGGGGGGTGGGGGTGCTGCAGTAGCCCCTGGGAAGAAGGAATTGTGGGGGAGACGTGCTGGCAAGTTGGGGGTGTTGGGTGATACTTCAGCTTTTCTTTGGCCGGCTCGCTCAGGGCTTCCTCACTGTCGTGATGAGTTTGTGCATTTTGCTCGCTGCAGACAGTTTTTGTCCTGTCTCTGGCCCCAGGTAGTAAAGGCATTACACAGTCCCACTCTGGAAAGGAAAGCCCCCCACCCCCTACCCTGTCGCCAAGCTGGGTCACCTAGGACTGCGCTTTCTCTGGGGGGTAGTGGGGAGAGGGCGGGCGAGGGGGGTGGACAGAGGCCGAGGGAGGAGGGGAGTTTTACAGAAAGAATTCAGGCCAGTGTAGAGAGACAGGCTGGGGCATGTGTCAGAGTCAAGATACCAGGACAGAACGTTGACTTCTCTCTTTTATCCAAAATACTTCTGCAGTTGTTTTTTTTTTTAAAGTATACGTGTAAGGACTTTATTCTGAATTTTTAGAATGACATCTAGTAAATGTACAGGAGAGAACACAAGTTGGATCTAGCTTCCTAGATTTTCACAAAGTAAATAGCTCTCGGGTCAAGAAACCGAATGCAGCCAGCTCCTCCCAGAAACCTTCCTCTTCCTCTCACTTAGTCCCTCCCCGACAAGGGGGCCGCTGTCTTGACTTCCAAGTCTGTAGATTCATCTCGCCTCTCTTTGAACTTTATATAAATGGAATCACATGGTGCGTTTTCTCGTGCCTGGCTGCTTTTGCTCCTGTCTGTGAGATTTACCCACAATTGCTGCAAGTAATTGTAGGTTGCTCCTTCTCATTGCTGTGTAGTATTTTATTGTGTGAATCTACAACAAGCTACTTATGCATTCTGCTGTTGACGGTCATTTGGGTAGTTTCCAGTGGTGTCATTAGGGACATTTCTTTGTACATGTCTTTTGCTAAGTTTTTTTTTTTTTTTTCCCTCTGCATTTCTCTTGGCTAGGAGTGGAAATGCGCCTATCCATTTTGATGCACGTTTAGTGGACGTGTCTGGAAATGATGCTTACTAAGGGTTGCAGGTTCCTCCCTGTCTCGTGGAGGGAGGAGTGAGTGAATGTTTCATGAACTTGGCTGTGTGTTCATAGGGCGGCCTGAGAGCGTTAGTTCCAATTGCAAGTCCTGGCATGGCGCACTGGCGGAGGGTGCAACTTTGCCTTCCCTACACTCATGGGAAATTTGCCACTGTGATTCCTTGGCCTTCCATCCCCCAATGGGTCAGGCTCGAAGCCAGCAGTGAGAATTAAGTGTTCTCAATTATTTCATTTCCCCCTCCTCTTCCTAAGTAAGAAAACCCCACAGGAAAGTCTTTGACAGTTCAGATTTACATGGCTGCCCTTTTCTCACGCCAGGCAGCCATGCGTCTTGACCGAGAGCCTTGGTTGCATGTTTTCATGGCTTGCAAGTCTGATCTGAACATGGCCGTGATGGTCTCTGGTGGCTTCCGGAGAGCTCAGACCTGTCAGCTCGGTGAGAAGCATCTGCCAGCCTTCCTTCCTAGAGCTCCCCCCACCACCTCTCAGTGCCACTTGCCCCTCCTAATGGGCCACCAGGCACCCATGTGAATGTCATCTTTCCAGCCCTCCTCGAGGTGGCAGGTCTCCCACCGAACACGACAGAGAAACCTGGACCGTTGCAAGAGCCATGGATGGAGGTCTGTGTTTTGTCACGCTTAAGTCTCCTGATCCGCACCCGGGATTCCGGCTTTCCATCCCGGTATGCAGGAATCTCAACAAGACACCTGAAGTCGCATTGACACCGGACGCTGGCTGGTTGGCATGCCTCCAGGTTTTTCTTTTGGTAAGGAAAGGCTCCTTAGAGAGAAATAGTCCGCACAGGAAGCAAAAGGAGCCCTGGGAGTGGTGGGGGGTGTGTGGGAGCATGTTATCGTATGTTGGCCCATCCTGAAAGGTAGAATGTTCTAGAAGGTACTACTTACGCAGGTAGGATGGAACAACTCCCATGATTCTTGCGTTAGCTCAATTTGGCTGGTATTTCCTGAAGAGCAAAATTCCCCAAAGTAAGACTTAGCCTGGCTTTTCCACTGCGAGTTTTTTTTGTTTTTTTTTCCAACAAGGGTGCAGTTCTTCATCCGCCATTCCAAAATCCAAAAAGCTCCAAAAACCAACAATATGAGCTCATTTAGAGGTGAAACCTAACCTGCACTGACTTGTGTGTGTAGTCTTAAGGTACAGTTTGAACTGATCCCACGTGGTGCATGTTTTGGTATGTTCCGCACGCAAAAAACGTTAGATACTCTTGATTGTGGCGTGCTCAGACTTTCAAGCGAGCCGGGATTGTCTCCTTAAAATGACGATTCTGCTCCAGCAGGTTTGGGCCGGGGGCTGGGCTTCTGTCTTTCCAACTAGCTTCCCTGTGCTTCTCGTCCACGGGCTGTGCTCGGAGTATCCAGGTTCTGTCGTAGAGGCATCCTGTGACCTTTTTTCTTGTTCTTAAAAATAGGGTTTATCGAGGTATACTATATGGGTAGCAAAATGCGCCCTTTTTATATGCTGTTCTGTGCGTTTTGGCAGATGCAGGCAGGTGTGCAGCCGCCACCTGAATCAAGACAGGGAGCAGTTCTGTCAAGCCCAGAACATCCGCGTGGCGCCCTTCTGAGTCAGCACCCCCCGTTTCTCCAGTCCCTTGTACCCACTGGTCTGTTCTCTGTCCCTGTAGCTTTGCCTTTTGCAAAAGGTCATATAAATAGAATCACGCAGTATGTAGCCTTTTGAGTCTGACTTCTGTCACTCGGGCTTTGAGAGTCATTGGCGTCGTTGCGTGTGTCCCTAGTTTGTTCCTTTTGGGCGCTGAGTGGTGTTTCGTGGTGTGCGTGGACCGGTGTTAATTCACCCATTTTTCCCAGCCGCCAAGCCGCTGGGATGTTTTGGGTCTGGGTGATTGTGAACAGAGCCGCTCCCAGCACACGGGTGGGTGGGTTTGAGTGGGAACATCGAGGACATGACATTTCCTTTCTCTTGGGTAAATAAATACCCAAGGGTGGCATTGCCGAGTTGTGCAGCAGGGGTATGTTTAATTTTATAATTAAAATGATAAAAGTTTTCCAAAGTGGTTGCACCATTTTATGTCCCCATCTCTGTTATCCTTCTGAAAGCCCCAAGTTCTAAACTGCAGAGCACACCGGCTTTGAGGGTTCAGGGGTAGGGGTGTGGACTTGCAGAAAGTGACGGGAGTGGTTGTGTTAAATGCCAGTCAGAGAAATGGGAATGATCGCGGACCCTGTTGGAAGCCATGTGTCTGCCCTGGCGAGAGAGAAGGGGGTCTCTGGGGTGGGGCGCCTGGGTCCTGCCCCTCGCCAGTAAGAAAATCAAGCCCCGAGGCCAGGGGGCCCATGCCATGCTCCTGTTCTTTGCCACTGCAACTCCACTGGGCCGCACAAGGCAGGCACCCCATGCGCGTTTGTTGAATGAATTACAAAAAACGTCTGTCTTCGCCTGTTAGCTAAGTCATATAACGTCTCATCTGCCCCTTGTGCCAATGTTGTAGGTGTTTGGGGGGTTTTAGGTGAACGAGGTTGGGAGGATGTTCGTGAGGTTATCGGACCAATGCCGATTTCTGAGAGGTTGGCCCTTGAGCAGATGGGGCAGCGCTTTGAGAAGGAAGCCTTGCTGCAGGGGGTGGGGGGCTTCTATTGCATGCTCGGGGCGTGTGTCCTCCCTCGCTGTTGCCCCCCCGGAGTGAGCACACATATGCACTTCTTCAATAACAGAAGGCACCCCCGGGAAGGTGGATCAAATCCAGAGATAGCCCGAGCCTAAGAGCCCGGCTGGTAACGCATTTCTGAGAATGCCAACTCAGCTCTTGGGAAAGGGGCCGGATGGCGCCTGCCCGGAAAGAGGGCGGAGGGCAGAGGAAAAGTGCCCCAGACTCTGTGTCACACAGGCCAGGGTTCGAGTCCTTGGCCAGCCACGCCATCCTGCCCACTGGAGCCGTTTCCTCACATGCATATGGAGATACTGCCTCTGACAGTCACTCCCTTGGAGAGCTTTCAGGGCTTGAAATGGAGTCATGCATGGAGAACAGTCAGCACAGAGAAAACCCCAAAATACAAAAGCCACAATGCCGGGAAGTCACACTGTGTCTCCCGTCCAGGTACCAGCCAGGCCCGACCCTGCTTAGCTTGTGAGATCGGACGGGGTGGGGTGGCCACAGACGTGTTCCTGCTGCTCTGTTTTCTTTCTTTCCTCGGAGGGGGCAACTTTGGCTAGAAACGGGGCTCCCTGGGTAGGAGCGGGAGCGGCGGGCCCCTGTGCGACTGGCCGGTGTGGGTTTCTTAACCTGAGTGTGGGAGTCTTTAAAGCAACCCTCGGACGATTTTTGCATTCTCTGTTCTCTCTGGAAGCTTTCAGGGGGAAAAAAAAAAAAATCATGCCCACTTGACCTATTTTTCTATTCCCTTCGGTCTAAGATAAAATTAATTCTCTTCCTCCCCACCCCTTTGGTCCCTCCCTTAGTGGGTGACAAGGAGAGGGAGTTTCAGAGTATGTAATTAGTTTTCCTGCTACCACGCCCTGCCCCCTTTTCCAGAGTAGGCCAGAGTCCCGCCCAACGTGGGGACCACAGACTCGGGAGCCCTTCTTTGCCTGCCCAAGTGTCTGCTGCGAGCTCAACAGAACTGAGCTTTTGGGTTAGAACTCAGGTCCCCTCCTCCTGCCCCATCCTGCCCCCTGAACCCCCCATCTTCCTTCTCCCTCGCTCCCTGGGAGAACGGAGAAGGCAAAGAACACTCCCGCAGAGGGACCAGGCAGGTGTGCGTGGCAGCTTGGGTTTTAAAAACCCACTGGGCATTCATTATTACCTCTTGTCTGGGTGGGGTGGCGATTTATCCGGGTTTGGGACTGTCCTGGTTTTAGTGTCTCTGGAAACTCATCGGTCCTGGGCAAATCGGGATGTGGGTCACACTAGGGGTGACTTCCTAACACCTGAGAGAGAGAGAGAGAGAGAGAGGGAGAGAGAGAGGAGGCGCACAAAAAAAGATGGTGCCAGTGATCAGAAAAGGGGACAGAGTCCATCGCTTTTCTCCTCTGGAAAGCTGGGACTTTTAGTGGCATGAGCAGTGGTTTTGGAAGGCGCCTTGAAGGCCGCTAATACAAGAAGCAATCCGTGCTATGAAGGGAAATGCCCGAGTTAAGTCCGGATCAAGTTTTGTCGTCTTGCTTGGGTCCAGCGTGGCTTTAATCTGCGGTTCAGGCCGGGCACGGCCGTGGGTCTTCCCGGAAGGTGCAGGGCGCTCCGGCTGCACGTGCGTGCGATTAGGAATTAGTGTCCGCCACCTCCAGCCCCCAAATGACAGGGCTCGAGAGAGGCAGGTCCCCGACCTGGAGCCACGAAGGGAAACCAAACTTAGTCGCTCACCTGCCAGGAAATAATATTCACCGCCTTACGTCCTGTTCTCGTTTTAGGTGCATGTCTAAAAACTGTGTAATTTCAGACCAGTTTTTAAAGTCCTTTTATACAAGCAGGGTTTGCAGGAGAGTGAAGTCTGGATGTTCCCTTTTCGTTCTCAAGAATAAATGGATGGCCGGGTGCGGTGGCTCCCGCCTGTCACCCTAGCACTCCGGGAGGCCGAGGCGGGAGGATCGCTCGAGGTCAGGAGTTCGAAACCAGCCTGAGCAAGAGCGAGACCCCGTCTCTACTATAAATAGAAAGAAATTAATGGCCAACTAAAAATATATAGAAATATTAGCGGGCATGGTGGCACATGCCTGTAGTCCAGCTACTCGGGAGGCTGAGGCAGGAGATTGCTCGAGCCCAGGATTGGAGGTTGCTGTGAGCGAGGCTGATGCCACGGCACTCACTCTAGCCTGGGCAACAAAGCAATGTCTCAAAAAGAAATAAATGCGAATGGCTTTGTCTTAAATAAGACATCGGGGCGGACCTATAACCAGGTCTATATTCTGACCTTCCAGAGCCTGATGTGTTCTTTTAGCCTATTCACCGTTTTTATTTTCTTTATTAAGAATAATGGGCTGGGGGGGGTGGTCTGTGCTGGTGGCAGCACCAGGAGTGGAGGCCGGAAGGAAGGAAAGAGGAGGGGAGGCGATACAGGGTGGAGGGGAAGCCACAGGGCTTGGGAATAGGCCACCCTGGCTGCAGATCTCAGCTCCCGTGGTGGAGCCTCGGTCTTCTCATCTGTAGAATGGGGACAGTAGTTCTATGTCCAAGGAATGATGGGAAGTTTAAAAGCTACGTTGCCCAGAGAGCTCGTGGCATGTATAATATAGTCACTCTGTAAAACGTAGACAAACCAAAGGACTTTAGACTCCCCTAAGGACAAAGGCTGTGTTGGTCCCCATTCTGTCTCCTGGTACCTCCAGGGGCTGAATACGTAATCTGGGGGTGTTTTCTTGCGCCTCAGGTTAACAGAACGTTACCTTAATCCTACCCCAGGTTCACACCGCACCGTCCGTAGTGTCTCTCCCTTTGCCGATTTGGACTTATTTATTTTAATGATGTATGGAAACCATGGTGGACCCACCGCCTTGGCCAAGAGCTAGAACGCTGGTCCTCAAAGTGATCCCCGCACCCCTACCCCCAGCCCTGCGGGATTAGCGTTCCCTGCCGTAGGGAGGAGCTGCTCACACTGGGGCGTGCAAACCTGAGGGCCCTTTAAACACAGGTGCCTGGACCTCACCCCCAGAGTTTCTGATTCAGGAGGGTGGAGCCTGCCAATTTGCTTTTCTAGCAAGTTCCCAGGCGGTGCTGAGGCTGCAGGTCTCCCCTTAAAGGGGAGCACCCTTCGAGAAACACCCAACTAGAACAGACCAATAAACTTCTCCCCGTAGTCTCCACGCCGGCCTTTTCTGCCCGCCCCTCCCTCACCCCCTTCCCCCAGAGGCAACCCTTTTGCATTGTGTGTGTCTTACTCCTTGCTTTTTTAAGAAGGGAAATGTGTTACCATATATTTATATATACTTTAATATTATAAATTTAACTTTCCTTGTGTTTCTAAACTTTTTCATTTTCTGGGACTTGAACTAGTTTTCTTCACTCAGCTGTGGGTTTCTTTCTTTCTTTCTTTCTTTCTTTCTTTCTTTCTTTCTTTCTTTCTTTCTTTCTTTCTTTCTTCTCTCTCTCTCTCTTTCTTTTCTTCTTTCTTTCCTTTTCTTTCTGTCTCACTCTGTTGCCTGGGCTAGAGTGCCGTGGCATCAGCCTCGCTCACAGCAACCTCAAACTTCTGGGCTCCAGCGATCCTCCTGCCTCAGCCTCCCAAGTAGCTGGGACTACAGGCATGCGCCACCATGCCCGGCTAACTTTTTCTATCTATTTTTAGTTGGCCTATTCATTTCTTTCTATTTTTAGTAGAGATGGGGTCTCTCTCTTGCTCAGGCTGGTTTCGAACTCCTGACCTTGAGTGGTCCTCCCGCCTCGGCCTCCCAGAGTGCTAGGATCCTCCTGCCTCGGCCTCCCAGGTGTGAGCCCCTGTGCCCGGCCTCAACAGTAAGTTTCTAAGATTCATCTCTGCTGCTGTGTGTAGCTGGTGGTCACTTGTTTTTCTCTGCTGTATACTATTTCACTTTGTGACAATACAGTCATTTATTTATCTGTTTTCCTGGGTGATGGGCATGTGAGATGCTTCCAGTGTAGGGGAGGTTGTTTGTTCGCTGTCATGAACAGTATTTACTGTGATGAATAAGTAATTTTGAGTGGATGAATGGAAGGTGTTCGTTCTAGTCTGAGTGCTTGAGAATCCGGCGCGAGCTAGAATCAGCTGTGACTCACCCGCACCTGTGGGACGCCGGCCACCAGACAGGAAGAGGCTGAGCCATCTCGTAATCTACTCATCGTTCTCGCTGAGGGCTGGGTCACCCAGATAGCCCTTGTTCCTGCTTGTGTTCCAAAAGTCAGAGCCTGTGGTTTCGACAGTGGCCATTGATAATGGTTGTAGAAAGGAGCAGCATGGCTGAGTCGAGAGCCTCAGCTCTCTGCAGCCAGGTGGCCGAGGTTCGAATCCCGACGCGGCTGGTTTACTGGCTGTGGGACCTTGTGCAAGTCACTTAGGTGATCTGTGCCTCAGTTTCCCAGTCTGTCCAATAGGGATTCTAATAGCCTATCTTGGAAGATTAAATGAGTTAATATATATGATACTTTAGAATGCTGCCTGGCACTCGGTGAGCACTGTGTGTGCTTATATACACACGGAAGGGTGGGTCGTTGGATAGACTTACGTAGGTGGCCGCGTTCGGGCTTCTTTGACCCGATGCTTGGAATGGCGCACAGTAGGTGCTGCCGTAGTGTTAATTTCCTGCCCTTTCTCGCCGAGGCTTTCGACTCACTCGATCTCTGTCATTCTTTGGCATTTATATTGCTAACCCACCCTCCCGAATGGTCGGCTCAACCAGTATTGCTCCAATATATAAGCCAAAGGGAAAATAATCACAGGGTCTTGTTGGCTGCCTGGACTAGAATTCCGCGATGCCAAGGCCCAAGCAGGATTTTCTGCAGCAGTCCTTTATCCATGTTCCTGGTTGGCTTCCTCTCCCATTCCCTGTGCCTCAGTCTGCCCTCAGTTTCCCCTTCCTCTGACCATGCTCTCTCCCAACCAACCTTACCTTCTCTCCCCAAGAGCACCATCTTTGCAGATCTCAAATACTTGAAAGCAGCGAGGCCAGGCTCGCTCCCGTGAGGGTCTCACAAGGACGTGGCGTGCTTGGGTCTGGCACAAAGAGTCAGAAAGGTTCATGGGCTTGAATTATCTTTGGAAGAGTTGTTAGGACGCAAACGTTTGGCCTTTTGGTCTGTTCCTAGTCGCAGTGCAGTCTTTTAAGTTATCGATCGTGGAGGGATGCTTGTGATTTAGCGGGGGATGGGGGCATCCCGTGCAGTTAGTGTTGGATGGCTGGGTGGATGGATGGGTGAATTGACGGATGGTTGGTTGGATAGATGTGTGGGTGAGTGGGTGAATGGATGGGATGAAGGAAGGAAGGAAGGATGGATGTTGTATGTGTGTGTGATTGGATAGGTAGGTGGATGGTTATATAGGTGGGTGGACAAGCAGGTGGATGGATGGATGGGTGGATGGATGGATGGATAGATGGATGGGTGGGTGGATGGATGGGTGGATGGATGGATGGGTGGGTGGATGGATGGATGGATGGGTGGATGGGTGGATAGATGGATGGATGGATAGGTGCATGGATGGATGGAAGGTTGGATGGGTGAATGGATGGATGGGTGGTTGAATGGGTGAGTGGATGGGTGGACGTTGCACATAAAAGGGTGTGTGTCCATGTTTGGGTCTGTCTGATGTTGAATTCCGATCAACTTGGGACTGACCAAGTCTCTCTGCTCACCACCCTACTTGTGCCTTTTCCAGTGTCAGATTAGTCTTGCTTGCTTTTGTAAATATCAGTCAGATTGTTTACATTTTACCTCCCTAATTAGGAAGCTCCTTGAGGGTAGGAGACAGTGACTTACCTTCCTCTCATGCCCCCAGAGTTCCTTCACTCTTTCACACCTAAGTATGTAATTGAGGAATGGTGAAGAAAATAAACAAGGTTTGTTGGCAGAGATTATTAAAACACTGGGAACACCTGGTTTGGTTTGTTTCAGCGCTAGGGCTGAAAGTGGAATTCCTTGGGTTTCGCTGCATCAGTGGGTAGGTGGATGGGTAGGGTAGGACAGTGGGTAGGACAGTGTGTAGTGGTGGACTCGTGGAATATCTCTCTTCCAAGCAGGCTGGGGAAATACCCCAGACTCTTAACCCACTAGGCAGAGATTGCAGATTACTGATGTCACAGGGTCCTGTAGTGCCCCACATTGATCTGGTCCCAGTTTTGTTTGTCAGCCCATTTCGTCCATTCTCTACCCATTCTACTGTGCCTTAGCCCCACTGACCGTTTTAGCTCACACCCAGCTCGTCTGCGTCCCCTCTGTTCGGCACGGGCTGTTCCCTCTACCTGCATCACCGTCCCTCCGGGCCTGCTGTGGCTAGCTCCTGCTCTTCATTCAGGGCTCAGCCAAAAAGTCACCTCCTCCAAGAGGCCTCTCTCCCCTGCATTTATGGAACATCCAGAGCAGCGGTCCCCAACCTTTTTGGCACCAGGGACCGGTTTCATGGAAGACAATTTTCCCATGGACCGGGGAGGGGGAGGATGGTTTCGGGATGATCCAAGCCTGTGTGTGACATTTATCGTGCAGTCAGACCTCTCTGCCAATGACAGTCTGTGTTTGCAGCCTCTCCCCAGTGCTAGTATCACCGCCTCAGCTCCACCCCGGGTCATCAGGCATTGGGTTCTCATAAGCAACCACAACCTAGGTCGCCCGCGTGCACGGCTTACAGTAGGGTCCGCGCTCCTGTGACAGTCTGATGCCAGCGCCGACCGGGCAGGAGGCGGAGCTTATGGGGCGATGCCAGTGACGGGGAGCGGCTGTAAAGACCGATGAAGCTCTGCTCACTCACTTGCCCTTCACCTCCCGACCTGCAGCCGGTTCCCAGCGGATCACGGACTGGTGCCTGGGAGTTGGGGACTGCAGGTCTAAAGTCCAAGAAAGAATACAAAACGTGTTATACCCCCTCACCCAGAAAGAATCTCCGAAGACGTGTGTTCATGTATTTCATCCCGTGCCTTTTTGCGGATATAAATCTTTGTGAGCGTGTATTTCCGCGCCACTAAGTATCTTCGAAAAAATAAGGGTCGCCGCGTGCAGTTGCGCAGGTTGTATACTGCACAAGGGTGGCGTATCACATGTTGCAGGCACCATAGAGCTGCATTTTTATAGTTTCAGTGCCCCAGCTGATGGAAGCTTCGGTATCCTGTTCTAACAAAATGAAGATATTATGACAGTTTTTGACAGATGGGCCTAACAACTTGAGAAAGGGGCATCTTGTTTACATTCACGCGGTGGTGCTATACGGGTTGGCGGCAGGCACAGAAAAGACTATTAATATCGGACGACATTCCACTTTATGGATGTGTGACACTTCACGTAGCCAACTCTCGTTCTTTGTTTGTTTTGCCATCATAAATAACAGCGCAGCGGACATCTTTGGCTGTGAGTCCCTGTCCAACGTCCTGACGGTCTACACGCGGCACTCCGAGTTCATGATGGAAACTCTGTTGTTGCTGCTTTCTTGGACTCTGCAGAAGGGACTTTGAGACCAGGTGACTGGTCTATTCAGGATGTTGGTGACAAGGAACAGGGAAAGAACAGTTAATGGGTTTGAATTTTTTCAAAAAAAGCAGTGCTTTTGAACTGGGGGGTGAGTTTACCCCTCAGGGTACTTTTGGCAATGTCTGGAGATATTTTGGGTTGTCACGAATGCGGGGGTGGCGGGTGTAAGGTGCCACTGTCATCCTGGTGGGTGGGAGCCAGGGAGGTGAGTTAAGCATCCTAAAATGCACAGGGCAGCCCCCCCCCCCAGTAAAAACGATCCAGCCCGAGATGTCAATAACGTCAAGGTTGAGAAATCCCGATGTAAAAGATGTCACAGGCTTCTCCAAGGGGAGTGGGTGGCTTTAGGGTTTTTGGGTGACTTAAATTTAATTTACAGTTTCTCTTCCTGGCTGGGTGTGGAAGGCAGTTTTCTGTGAACTTTAGATCCTACACGATCAGCAACAGGCTACCGACAGATTCGTTGATGTAAATATAGATGAGTATATAGAAGGAAATCTCACCCAGAGTTGGAAAATGTTGGAATGAAAGCTGCGGCGGCCTCCCCTTCTCTCTCTCTCCTTCTGTTACCCAGTTTTTAAATCGTGCCTCACTTTCTCTGGGCTGCTGGCGTGGCCAGCGCTGCTGGGGTGGACCGTGGCTCTGTGTTCCCTTCGGTCCCCACACCTGGGGCTGGTCTTGGGCGTGTACAGCAGACAGATCCCTGCAGCGTATATCAACTGAGAGACGGGAGGGGGAGAGGTGCATTCATTCATTCATTCATAAATGTTTCTTGAGTACCTACTATGTGCCAAGCGAGTGGGAGGAAGTGAGGGCAGGGAGGTGACAAGGGCAGATAGTTCTGGGCTCTGTGAACCACCGCGAGGATTTTCTTTTCCTCTAAAGGAAATGGAGTAATAACCTCTCCCCGCCTCCCCACCCCCGCACACCTGTACTTTCTGTTTCCCATAACAAAAATGGGGCAGGGTTTAAGGGACACAGTCTGAGGTCAGCCAGGACTGGGTTTCTCTCTGTCAGGGGTGTGGCCTTTGGGAAGCCGCTTAACCTTAACGACCCTCAGTTTCTTTATCTGTAAAATGGGCAGAGTAATATTGTCCTCCCAGGGATGTTGTCAGGATTAAATGGATGGTGAACGTGAAATGCTGTGCTTGGCACATAGCAAATGCTCAGCAAGTGGCAGAAGCTCTCGGTTTCCTTCTTGGTAGGAGCGCTGGACACAGATGAAACCCAGACAGACAAAAGTCCCTGGCGTGGCTGACGTTCTAGGTGGGGAGGGAGACAGACCAAGACCAGACAAACAGGTGAAGGACAGAGTTGAAGCGTGGCAAGTTCTACAGCTCAAAAGTAAAGATCTCCCGGGCGATCTTGGCCGTGCCTTGGAATCCACTGAGGCAGGGGTAACACTGGAAAACCTGAGCCAGGAGGAGACCTGAGGGGAGTGTGGGCTTGATTCAGGGTGATCTGGGAAGTACGCAAGGTGAGGGGCTGGTGTGGGGAGAGCCAGATGGTTCTGTCTTGGGGGGGGGGGTGAAGCAGGGATTGGTTTGGGGGAGTCCCCAGGGGACAGGTGAGGGGCCCCAAGCAGGTGAGCAGGAAAGGAGAGGTGGAGGACCCAAGTGAGTTCTAATTCCTTCCTTGTACACCAGGGTGTTTTCTCAACCTTAGCCCCAGGTCTTGGGTCAGTCATTTAAAGACACAGGCCAAGAGGGCGAGCTCTGGGTTGTTTTGAAGGCTCTAGGTTATGTAATTAAAGTTCTAGGATGTAATTTTTTCCCTAACCTGCCTGATGTGCATTTCTTTCTTTTTTTTTTTTTTCCTGAGGTTGACTAGACGTGAGCCACCCAGGAAGGCAGCCACCAGCCATATGTGGCTGTTGGAATTTACAAATTAAGTACAGTGAAAAAGTCCATCACTCAGTTGCCCTGGCCACATTTGAAGTCCACAATTTCAGTGTGTGGCCCAGTGGCCCTGAGACTGGGTGGTGCAGATCTAGAACATTTTATTGCTGATGTCCCTGAACCTACGTTATCAGCGTCTCCAGGGACCTTGTTATAAATGTAGAATCTCATCCTCTACCCTAGACCTGCTCAATCCCAATCTGCATCTCAACAAGATTCCCCAAGTGATCTTGGCTGCCCCTTGGAATCATCTGGAAGCTTTAGAAATGCTGATGCCCCAAGCCCCACCTCCACAGATGCTAGAGAGATTGGTCCAGGGCTGCCCCTGGGCTTGGGGATTTTTGAGAGCTCCTAACCAGGTGATTAAGCAGGTAGAGTGGAGCAGAGCTGTGTGACCTTAGGCAAGCCACTTACCCTCTCTGAGCCGCAAGTTCCCTCTCTGTAAAATCAGATACCTGCTGGCACCTCCCTCCCAAGGCTGTGAGGAGTAAAAGATGTTATGATTCAAAGTTCTGAGCGGAGTGCCTGGAACATTGACGGCAAACACTCCCTACGTACATAAGTGTTAATTTTTTAAGATGAGGTCAGCAGCCTTAGATCTAATAGTTGGAGTGAAGGAAACAAAACTCTTTTTTAAAAATGGATTGTGCCGTGGGTTTTTCTTTTCTCTTTTTCTTTTTTAAATTGAGGTAAGGCTGGGCACAGTGGCTCACACCTGCAATCCCAGCATTTTGGGAGGCCAACGTGGGAGGATCACTTGAACCTAGGAGTTCAAGACCAGCCTGGGCAATATAACAAGACCCTGTCTCTAAAAAAAAAAAAAAAATCTTTTTTAATTAGCTGGGTTAGTGGCTCATGCCTGTAGTCCCAGCTACTTAGGAGGCTGAGATGAGAGGATTGCTTGAGTTCAGGAGTTGGAGGCTGCAGTGAGCTGTGATCATGCCACTGCATTCCAGCCTGGGCAACAGGGAGAGAGAGAAGAGAGAGAGAGAGAGAGAGAAGAGAGAGAGAGAGACTCTATCTCAAAAAAATTGAGATAAAATTCACATAACAGAAAATTGGCCATTAACCATTTTAAAGTGTACAGTTGGGTGGCATTTGGTACATTCAAACTGTTGTGCAGCCATCACCTCTCTCTAGTTCCAAGGCATTTTCATCACCCCAAGTGGAAACCCTGTACTCCCCATCCCCCCTCCCACCCCCACAGTCCCTGGCAACTGCTAGTCAGTCGTCTTCTGTCTGCATGGATTGCCTGTTCTGGTTTGGGGGGTCTGCGAACTCCCCTCCGCTGGCTAAAAGACTCCGGGCATCCCGGTGAGACCGTGAGAGCGCCCAGCTCCCCTCATTTCCGGGTCTCCCCCGCCGGCTTGGGGGCCGCCCCCCACCTGTCTCCCGCTCGGGGCTCCTGGGTCCTGCTCACCAGTCTGGCTCATCCCAGCAGCAGCCGTGTTCTTCTCTCCCGGGGCGGCCACAAATGAGAGGTTTCATCTCAGCTGGGTTTCTCCTAGTTAAATATTTAATAAATAAGACCTACAACTTGTGGTGCTGGGAGTGTTTGATAGTGAAATTAATGAGGGGGAGAGTGGCAGGCGGCCCGCAGGCCCCTGCCTGGGCCTGGCTGGTCGAGGCGTCCTGGGCAGGCGTAACCACTGTGGGCCACACGGTCCCATGTCCCCAGGCCAGGACCTTCCTCTTTCTTTAGCACCGTGCCTGGTACAGAGTAGTGCTTGAGGAAATGTGTTGGGGCAGAGAGATTGTGTGTGTGTGTGTGTGTGTTGTGTGTGTGTGTGTGTGTGTGTGTGTGTAGGGAAGATGGAAGAGAAAGAAGAGGGGAGAGAGAAGGAAAAGTGGAAGGGGAAAGAGAGCGGGAAGGGGAAGGAAAGAACTGGAGGAAGTTTAAGGAGGGCAATGATGAGGGAAAGAGACAGAGACACAAAGATGGCGGGAGGTGAAGGAAGAAGGAAAATACAGAGAAAGAAAAGAGAGAAACAGAAAGAAAAGAGAGAATAATCCTTCTTGTATCTTGCCCCCTCTCCCATTACCCTTGATCATCTTTTTTTTTTTTTTTTTTTTATGTCTCCCCAGTTCTCATTTCCTTACCCTCGCCTTCTGGCCAGCTCCTCGTCCCTTTCATTTCCTGTGTCTGTGTTATCTTTTCATTTTCTGTCTGGGTATTTGCCGCCTTGTCTGTTTCTCTGCATAAACCGTCCTTTGGTGTATGTGGCTTATTTTGTTTAGTCTTTAGTTGATGCTGTGTGTGTGAGAGAGAGAGAGAAGTGAGACAGTGAGAGAGAAATGAACACATAGAGAGACACACACACACACACACACACACACACACACACAGAGGAGTGCAGGAACATACGTGAACATTTTCAAGACTGACCATGAAAGGCACACCCATTTAACCAGATCAAGAGCACCACGATGTCACCATCTCAGATTGTCCCTTGTGCCTGTCCCCCTAATGGCCCTTCTTTCTCTCCTGGAGGAGCCACCAGTGAGGATTTTATGGGAACCATCCACTTGTTTTTCCTTTGTGGCTTTACCACCTAGACATGCATCGTAAAGCGCCGTATGTAGCTAAATGTTACGTGGTTTTGAACCGTGCGTGAATCAATGTATACGATACGAATTGTTTTGTGCTTTGCTTTGTCGGCTCACCGTTACCTTTGTGAGATTTCATCCACCTCGTGGTCGCCGCATGGTTCCTGTGTGTGTTCGCTGGTGACAGACATGAATCCCTTCCCTTTGGGGCGCTGTCGTGAGCAGCGTTGCTGGTGGCTTGTGGATTTCGGTGCATGCAAGAATGTCCCTGAGGCACAGGGTTCTGCAAAATTGCAGGGTGCTAAGATGTGTAGCGGCGTCAACTTGACTAAATGCTGCCGAAGGAATTTCCAAAGAGCTTGTGCTAATTGACACTCCTGCCAGGAGTGAGTGAGCAGTCACGTTGCTCCACATCCTCACCAACACTTGGTACTTTCAGATTTTAAAATTGTAGCCTTTCTCGTGAGTATGTGATGATTGGTACCTTGTTGTGATTTTAGTTTCTGTCCCCTGGTTACAAATGAGGGCGAACATGTTTTGATGTATTATTGGCTATTCAAGTTTCCTCTTTTATAAGGCAACTCTTCTTGCTCTATTTTTTATTGGGTTACTGTTTTTAAAAAAGTACCGATTTGAGGCTAGGCATGGGGGCTCACACCTGTGATCTTAGCACTCTGAGGGACTGAGGCAGGCGGATGGTTTGAGCTCAGGAGTTCGAGACCAGCCTGAGCAAGAAGCAAGACCCTGTCTCTACTAAAAATAGAAAGAAATTATCTGGACAGCTGAGAGTATATATAGAAAAAATTAGCCGGGCATGGTGGTGAATGCCTGTAGTCCCAGCTACTCGGGAGGCTGAGGCAGGAGGATCGCTTGAGCCCAGGAGTTTGAGGTTGCTGTGAGCTGGGCTGATGCCATGGCATTCTACTCAGGGCAACAGAGTGAGACTCTGTTTAAAAAAAAAAAAAAGTACTGATTTGTAGGTGATCTTATATATTCTTGAAATCAGTTCTTTATTATTAAAAGCTGTGCAATATTTTCTCTTTGCTTGCCTTTTGATTTTTTTAAAATAATGTCTTTTGATCAACAGCAGTGCTTAATTTTAATGTGGTTGGTTTTAGAAATCTTTTCCTTGAGAGTTTGTGGGTTTTGTATCTTATTTAAGAAAATCGCTTTTACCCTGAGGCAATGGATATATTTTATCTTATTTCTGAAAGTTTTACAGTTTTGTTCACTGTATGTCTTTAATCAGCTTGGGATTGATTTTTTTTTTTTTTTGAGACAGGATCTCTCTATGTTGCCCAAGCTAGAGTGTAGTGGTATCATTATAGCACACCGAAACCTCAGACTCCCTGGCTCAAGTGATCCTCCCACCTCAGCCTCCCAAGTAGCTAGGGCTACAGGTGTGAGCCACTATGCCCAGCCAGGGATTGACTTTTATGTATGGTGTGGGGTAGAGGTCCAATTTCCTTTCTGTTCCATGAGAATTGTCCCAGCACTATGTATTTAACAGTCCACCCTTGCCCCACTGATTTGCAGGACAATCTCTTTGACTATTTAACTTTTACCTCCTTTTATGTGGTCTGTTTTCATACTCAACTTGTCAAGCCACAAATATTTATTGGGTGCCATTTATGTATACTAGGCACTGGGTTATAGCAATGGACATAACAGATGCAATCATCGCTTTCATGGAGCTTACAGTCTGGCAAGGATGACACATAAATAGCCATTGCTACTTAACGTACAATTAAAGATGCTATACGCCCTGCAAAGGGAGCCACGTTCAGCTTGCTGTAGGAGGAGCATGTAAAACAACCTCCCCCATGGGAGCGGTGGTAAACTGAGTCTTTAGTGGGAATAGTGGGAAAGATGTTTTGGCCAAAGGGAACTATCTGTGCAAAGGCCCTGTGGCAGATGCTTTATTTATCCTAAAGGTACCGTCAGGCCACTGAAGCAGCAGTACAATGATACTATGTCTTTGAGTGGCCCCACTGGCCACTGTGTAGAGAATGGGTTGGAACAGGGCAAGAATGAAAGCCATGAGGCCGGTTAGGAAATGATTGCCATCCTTCAGGGAAGAGACAGCGTGCTTTGGGCTGGGATAGTGGCTGTGGAGATGGAAATCATTGATCAGACTGAAGGATATTTTGAGCTGGCATGATTTTTTTTTCCCTCCCTCTCCCCTCTCTCTATCTCTGTTCCTTTTCTGGTTGTGTTTTCTGGGTGAGGAAAACAGCTTGCGATCCTGCCAATGGTATGTGGTCTGGAGGACATATTTGCCACAGATGGTCTTTGGAATTCTGGCCAAGAGAGTCACTGGACAGCCCCCAGGGTTTCTGGAACCAAGTCAACAGTGGCCATTTATGAACAACAATAGCAACAATGAGTTGACAGCCTTTCCTTCAAAGCACCTTTTAACCATTGCCTCGCTTTGTCGACCCTCTGAGATCAAGAGGAGAGGGAGGAGGGTTTTAATTTCTGTTTTATTATAGGATGGGGAGAGTTAATTGGCACTCTTGAGGTCACACAGAAAATGCTGGTTTGGGGACTGGGATCCAGTTTCTTGACCTCCAGCCCAATCCCATCTACACAGACTCACACACGCAATCCCCAAGCATACTCTTCTGCTGAGCATTTCCTACTAGGGGGCTTCTGGGTGATTTACAAGGCCTCAATTTCCTTGCCTGTAAAATTGGAATTAAAATAAAAATATCTACCTGCGGACGTGCTGTGAGGTCGGGGTGCCTGGCATATGGTGAGGGCTGGGCAGAAAACTGGTTGCCAGGGGCAGAAAACTCAAAGGGGCTTAAAAGCGAGAAGAAGGGATTTCATTGGCTCATGGGACCGAAGAGTCCAGGGTTTTCTGGATCCAGGGATCGGAGTACATCATCAGGCCTCAGTTTCTGTTGCTGGGCTCTACTTTTTGTGGTTGGCTCCATTCTCCGTGACTTGGCTGCAGCCCCAGCCTGTCAGTCCTCCCCGGATCATAGCCAAAGAAAAGATTCTTCCTGCTCACCCAGCCATCTTCCCAGAATTCTCAGTAAATACTTTCTTGCTTTTGATTGGCTGTTGCCGGGATCATGTGGCCATGCCAGAACCAATCACTCTGTGGGGAAATGGGAGGTGAAGAAAGGAGAGTGCCCTGATTGGCTTAGGCTTGAGTCACATGACTCTCTGGAGTTAGGGGTGGAGCCAACTTCTCTGAATGGGGAAGAGTGGTCCTGTTAAAGGTGTATGAGGCTGCGCTAGCTGCTGTAACAAGCAACCCCCAGTCTGCAGTGGCTTAGCACAATAAGAATGTATCTTGCGCCTCCACCATCCCCTAAGAACTTAAAGTCCTTCACTTCATCGGCCTGTAGGAAAAGAGAATATGAGGGCTCACACAGGAGGTTTTTAGGGGCCACACCTAGAAGTATCGAACCTCACTTCCATCTACATTCTGTGGACTGGAATTTTGTTCCATGGTGTATCCGTGAGGGTCCTTGTAGGGAACAGAAGACAGACATCAAAAATCAAATTAAGAGATTGTTTACATGAGTGGGCCCTTACCAAAACAGAGATGGCGGGAGGAAGCTGGCAGAATAAATGCCTCCATATCATTGCCTGTCCCAAATCTCCTGCCAGGTCTCCCCACTGTACAAAGCCAACTGGAAGCCAGAGAGCCAGGAGCCCAGTGAGGTCATCCACACAAGTCAGCCTCCACTGGGAATGGTAATGAAGGATGGAAGAGTGGATTTTGGGAGAAAGGAGACAGTACCCCTGGTCCACTTAACTGCAGGGGAGACTGAGAAATTTAGTCCATGGAGGAGAAGGTTTGGTGGACACATCACTTTGTCATTTCCACAAGGAGAAATCAGGTTCTCAGGTGGCCAAAAAGAAAAAAAAAATTCTGCTCTGATATTCCTATTATTAGTGGTGGCAGTGGTGATTGAGTCTGTCTGTGTGCTGTTTCCTTCTTTTCTTTCTCCTCCCTCACTTCTTTCCTTGCTCTGCGAGTTCCTTCCCTTTTAGTGAAAATCTTTCGGTGTTCCCTAAATGAGTTAAATTTCATGGCAAGCTTGTGTGGGGGCATTCTGCTTAGAGAGGTTTCTTCCCCAGGAGATAACCAATGTGTACCTGGGGCAGCTGAGGTCACAGCGAGCAGTCTGGGCCTCTGGCGAGGCCCTGGCCTTACCCTGAGGCTGGGATATGGTGGAAAGTGCCCTAAGGGGGTTAGGGTAGGAACCAGGTGATCGCGGCCTGAAGCAAGCGACCGCCTTGCTGGAGGTGACACCGAGAAAAGGCCCTTCCTGCCGATCCCAGGAGGTGGACTCGGGTCCCAGGGGCAGGAAGCTACTTCACTTGCTCCTTCCTACCTCTCTGGGGCCTGTCTTGGCAGCCAGAAGCAAGTGCACAGGTGGCATTGAAGCCCGGACACGCTGACAATGGCGTGAGCCCACCTCACCCCAAATTGGTCCAGCTGCGTTAGCAGTGCACCAGTGGCAGTAACAATGGCCTGTCCCCTCCCAGCCCCACCCACTTCTTTGAACTCCTCCAAGGCTCTGTGATGATAGGGCTGTCACTGTCTCAGCTTCCTCCATTCAAGCTGAAGTGGCCTTCCTCCCCTCCCTGGGGAACGGAAGAGCAGCCCCTCATTGTCCCTGGCAGCCGGCCAGCAGGTCCCCGCCTTCTGACCGCTCTGAGGCCCATTGTCCAAGTGAGGTGAGGTGACAGGCAGGCAGGCACAAGTCCCCAAGGGCGGTATTCGGGGTCTGCCTCTCATGAGCTCCATGGTTGCTGGTTTTCCTCACCCTCTTCCCAGCTTGGCCAGATTCCCTCCTTCTGGCAGTGATGGCTGCCTGGGGCTTCACCTCCCTGTGCCTCAGTTTCCTTATCTATAAGGACAATCATGGTAACAAGAATTCTGCAATATGCCAGGCACCTCCTTTGCATCAGTTAAGTTCATCCTCTGGATGCCCCGAGGGCTGGGCTGGTGGTGTATAAAAGAGGAAACCAGGACTGAGAGAGGTCCGGTATTTGAGGTCTTGCACCCCTCAAGAGACAGAGGTGGGACTTGAACCTAGGCTGTCTGGCTCCAAGAGTCCAGCTTTTAATCAACTATATGATAATAATAAATGTCCTGACGCAATGAGTTATTGAACAGATTTAATGCAATCGTATAGGCAGAAAAGCTTAGTTAGCTTGGTGCCCAGTACATGGTAAGCATTCAACATGTGTTATAATAGTAATTATTTTACCATTTTATTTTATTATTTTATTTACAGACTAGGTCTCACTATGTTGCCCAGACTGGAGTACAGTGGCTTGATCATAGCTCACTGCAACCTTGAATTCTTGGGCTCAAGCCATCCTCCCACCTCAGCCTCTCAAGTAGCTGGGACTGCAGGCATGCGCCACCCGACCTGGCTAATTAAAAAAAATTTTTTTTTATAGAGATGGGGTCTCACCATGTTCCCTAGCCAGATCTTGAACTCCTGGCATCCAGCAATCCTCCCTCCTGCCTAGGCCTCCCAGAGTGCTGGGATGACAGATGTGAGCCACCACACCCGGCCTATTTTACCATTTTACATTATATAATTATGTATTAGTGGATAAACGCAGTTGACCTTTGAACCACCCAGGGTTTAGAGGCACCCAACCCCCCTGCTGGGGCAAAAAATCCACATATAACTTTTAACCACCCCCCCAAACTTAACTATTAATACTAATAGCCTGCTGTTAACCAGAAGTCTTACCGATAACATAAACAGTTTATCGATACATATTGTGTATGTTGTATGTATTGTATACTATGTTTTTACAATAAAGTAAGCTAGAGGAAAGAAAATGTTATTAAGAAAATCAAGAGGAAGAGAAAATATGTTCCCTGTTCATCAAGTGGAAGTGGATCATCATAAAGGTTTTTATCTTCATGGTCTTTGCGTTGAGTAAGTTGAGTGAGGGGTGGGGGGTTGGTCTTGCTGTCTCGAAGTGCCGAGGCAGAAGGGGGAGGCAGGAGAGGCTGACATATTCAGTGTAATTTGTATTGAAAAAAAAATCCATGTACAAGTGGACCCATGGAGTTCACATCTGAGCTATTTAAGGACCAACTGTATGTGCTGCAAATACATAATATGCTAATATACAGTTACATATTGTCGTCATAGTACAGGGGCCAGCAAATGTTTTCTGCAGAGGTCTAGTTAGTAAATAGCTGAGGCTTTGGGGGTCATGCCGTCTCATCGGAGCCACTCAACTCTCCTGTTGTAGCAAAGGCAGCCACAGACAATATGTAAATGAATGGATGTGGCTGTTTGCCAATAAAACTTTATTTACACAAACAGATCATGGGCGGAAGTTTGCCAAGCCCGATATAATGTGTATTATTGTCTAGCAGCTGTATTTCTTCCCATTGTTCCTCTGATTACATCTGTCTTTTTCTTTTCTTTCTCACAAGGCAAGGCCAGCCCTTCTTTCTGTCTTTCTTTTGGTTTTGTTTTGTTTTGTTTTTTAGAAACAGGGTCTTGCTCTGTCACCCTGCCTGGAGTGCAGTGGCCTGATCATAGCTCACTGCAATCTTAAATTCCTGGGCTCAAGCGATCTTCCCACCTCGGCCTCTCACGTAGCTGGGACTACAAGCATGCGCCACCCTACTTGGCTAATTTTTTTTTTTTTTTTTTTGAGACAGAGTCTCACTCTGTTGCCCAGGCTAGAGTGAGTGCTGCGGTGTCAGCCTCGCTCACAGCAACCTCAGACTCCTGAGCTCAAGCAATCCTCCTGCCTCAGCCTCCCGAGTAGCTGGGACTACAGGCATGTGTCACCATGCCCGGCTAATTTTTTCTATATATATTAGTTGACCAATTAATTTCTTTCTATTTATAGTAGAAACGGGGTCTCGCTCTTGCTCAGGCTGGTTTCGAACTCCTGACCTCGAGCAATCCGCCTGCCTCGGCCTCCCAGAGTGCTAGGGTTACAGGCGTGAGCCACCGCGCCCGGCCACCTGGCTAATTTTTTTGTAGAGACAGGGTCTCACTATGTTGCCCAGCCTGATCTCAAACTCCTGGGCTTCAGCGATCCTCCCACCTCAGCCTGCCTTCTTTCTCTCTGTCGGTCTTTCAGAAGAGCGTGGCGGGCCCCTGCAATGTGGGCCTTCCTGACGCCAGACTTGTTTATCTAAAACGTGAGTGAGAGTAACAGGACTCTGAGCTCAGGCCTGGCTTCCTCTTCCTTCCCTTCTCCCTTCTCTCTTTTCTCCCTTCTTCCCAGGCTCTGGAAGTTCCCAGTCTCCTTGGCCATTGCTGATTTTCTCTGCTTGGGGAAGCCCACCAGCGTCCCCTCCCTCGCTCAGCCTCCTCTTACCGTGCTACCCCTTTACTCTTCCTCAGACGCACCAGCCATAGTCCTGCCCCAGGGCCTTTGCACTGGCTGTTTCCTGAGCCCAGATCATTCGTCCCTCAGGTAACCTCATGGCTCCTCCCTCATCTCCTTCAGGACTGCACTCAAAGGCCACCTCCGCGTCCTTCCCACTGTAAATTGCACGCTCCGTGTTTCCCTTCCTTTTCTCTTCCTTATTTCCCTCTTTGGAGCTCTTCACTGCCTCACCTATTTACCTGTTGGTTGTCCGTCTTCCCATATTACTGTGCTCTCCACAAAAGCAGGGGTTTTATTGGTTTTGTCCACTAATGTGGGCTAGAACATTCTGGAACGGCACCTGGCACGTTGCAGTGGTTGATAAATGTGTGTCGAATGAATGAACGCTATGACTTCATTCGTTTTTATTGCCGAATAGCATTCCGTCCGGAAATCCCACAGTTTGTTTATCTGTTTGCCTGTTGATGGACATTTTTTGTTTGTTCTCTTTGGGGCCGTCATGAACAAAGCCACTGCGAAATTCTTGTACTTTGGCCCAGCTCACCACGTGGTGTGAATCTTTGTAAATCCTTCTAGGTTTCGTCTTAAGTGCTACATTCTCGGAGCCTTTCCTGACCCAGCCCGTCTAAATGAGCTGCACCCCATTTTTTTTTCATAGCATTTATCACAATGCACGACGACTCGT